ACCTGAAAGTAGGGCATGTACTGGATCTGGGGATCGAAGCCATAGTCGCTGAAATGTTGAGTTTCGGGCATTGGGAAAATTGGGGATTTGTTGGACGACATTCTTCTTCGAGCAGGAGCGTGAATGATTTTAATGGCGGAAATGGGTTTTTTTTTTTGTTTAGAGCTCCAAGAGAAAAGAGTGCTGGCTTGATTCAATGCTTCTCACTCTCTCTTGTCACTTTCCATCTTCTTTTTCGGTTATTACATCTCAAATACTTTTTCGACTATATATTCAAAAAATAGACACCCGCCCCTAATCAAATAAATTATACCACTCTAAAGGCTTCCTTATTATACACTCATGATTATCAAACTGTCGTAACTTTGACGAATTCTTTTACTTTTTAACCACTCACTATCAAGTGATATAGTAGTATATGTCATATTCTTTTTTAATTGTTTAGGTTTAGTATCTCAATGTCCATCCAACATTCAATAGTATCTCAAGATCCATCAAGCATTTAATAGTACCAAGGATTTCGCCTGGTCCCTTCCCATCAATATTCTCCCACGTTTACGCTGTTTCAAATATGACTTTACCACAAAAAGCATGTGACTTTTTTTACCAAGATTTTCAAGTAACGTGGAGTTCTTTATGACGAGCCAAACGACAATTAACAATCTATATATAATAGGAAACCACTTTTTTGCACTTGATGACGTCACCTTTTTTTAATAGGAAAAAAAAATCTCATCCGACGGTTAAAACAAAACAAGAGTTTTGATTGAACGATTCAGATTGAGACATAGTTTGATCCCCAAAAAATCGGAAGGGTTTTTTGATGATCGTCGTCTCTTTGCATCGATTCATCAAACGAAGTGTCTTCTCAACAAAAGACTCCTCATGGTTATAAATTCATTTTGTTCTTCGTCGTCGTCGCTCCATTATTCTCTCTCAAATCAATCAATCAAGCCTAAAATTTCTCGTTTTGAAAAAAAAAAAAATTTCATGTTTGTGTTTATGAATTGATATTAGAGATTGTTGATTTGAAAATATTTACGAAAGTTTTACTCTTTAAAAAAAAATGTGATGATTTGAATACTACTTTGAATGTGTTTGTCATTATTTGATAACTATCGTTATTGATCTCTAATTTTCGTCAAATTTTGATGATTTTTCGTTAGTTTTCATCTTCTTTGTGTATAATATCTCATTTAGGTAATTTTTTACAAGTCTTAGATCGGAGTTGGTTGTGGAGTATGACCGATTGATTATTGAATGAATCTGAAGTCATCAGAAGATATATCGATATTATTCCATATCTACCTCTGTTTATATATAGTTTAAAATTTGGTATAGTTTTGAGTGTTAATAGTGTTGTGAAATCATATTTTGAGATAATAGAGAAACGCCGATGTTTACTCGATGACTAACTGCCTGGCTTTAATCACAGTGTCTGATTTGGCAACATCTTTGCAAGGCCATGTCTACAATTTGTTATGGACTTTGTCACTTCAATCTTCATCCCTCTTTTCTTTTGTAAGTAGTGTTGATTAGGCCTCTTACCCAAAATTTTAGATTTAATATGTATCTTCTCTAAATCATTCTCCATTCCAGAATTGTGAATGAAAAAGAATCCCGTTCGAATTGCTCACTAGAATCACTCCCTAACATCGTTGGATATTTTTCATTTTTTTGACCCTTAAAGATATGATTCGATGGTGAAGATGGATCAGGATTAAAAGTCACTTCTCATTAGCAAGATTTGGTAGGTTCCTCTTCATCTTGAGAGATTTTAATTGAACATAAGCACCCTCCAAAACTTGAATCGTGTTGGCGATGAAGAGTTGTGATTGCTTGTTTTATTTACGGAAGCGATCCTAGAATCGTTTCACAAAACTCAATAATTGGGCATTAAAATTTGTCGCTGCTATGTCACCACCATTTTGAGTTTTGGTTTATTTGTTCTGTTTGTTTCCTTCCTCGAATCAACTCTATCTAACCCTTCGTACCAGCAATCATTTAGTATGCACCTTCTCATCAGGGCTCTCTCAAAATGTGATTTGTTTCGTTTGTTAATATATGGTTATAGATCATTGGGATATGATGAGGCAACCAATGGTCCAACGTGAAGCTTGCTTGATGCGTGATAACCTCTGAGTCCTTCGCCTAAAAAACTGCCATTGCTAGTCACTTATTTACTTATATAAACTTTTGGTTCTACCACCGTAATTACATTGGGGTTAGTAAACATAAGTTTGGTACTAACAATGTGGCTTTAGGGATACAGATAATCATTCAAAGATCAAGGAAGTCTACACAATAGAAATGGTCTTTTTAGGACCGAAGAACTCATTCTTTTCCGAATAAATCCAACATGCCCCTTGATTTGTCTTTACGCTCTCAATCTCTAGCTTCCGACATGATGGCCATTTACATTATCCATAAATGTATGATTTTTTGTTTCCAACAAGAAATCCAGCAAGATGTTTTGTTTCGTATAACTTCGGACAAATTATTAATTTTATTCGGCTAAGAATATCTATATTACGGAATCAAATGTCTTTCCTTACATCTCACTCTAATGTCTATAAATGAACGCATAGATATGAAAGCAAAAATCCATTTATATTATCTTGAGGATTTTTTTGTTTTTGTTTTAGTTAATCTACTACATAAGTGGTTATGGACTAAAAATAATGTTAG